TTCTGCTATTAATGTTTCCACTATTAAGATCCTGAGAATCACTCTAAGACATGTTGAAGCTTGCAGAAGGAAAAGATGTGGTTACTGGGGTGGCTCTTACAGTTTGTGTCTACAATTGCAGAAACTCGAAGGTTCTTTGATGACCTTTGTGCAGTGAGAAATGTGGAGTGTCCACCTCCTAGGACAACAGCCAGGCTTCTCGACAAAGTAAGTAAAGGTGGTTTGTTTGTCTGTCGGTTGGTTGGTTTTTGTTGTTGTTGTTTTTGTATTGCTGTCATCTTTGAGGATCTGTCTGTAGAAGTACCTGGACCAGGCTCTGAGCAACTTGATCTAACTTGCAGGGAAGTTGGACAAATGATTTCTATAAGTCCTTTCCAATTGAAATGATTCTGACTTAATAGAAGTCTCTTCAGAGCAAGTTTAGCTGCATGTGAGAAAACACTGACATGCACTCAAGCTATTTCTCCATGACAATGACAAACCTCCCTGTGTTGAAATCCTGTCGTGTTCAATAAAATGTTGTTGACTGATGCATGCTTAGTATGAGCTCTAGAAAATGTTAGTGTGCAAAATGGATCTTTTAGGCCCAAGCCAGATCTGCTTTATGATAATTTTGTTGCTTTTGTTCGAGAGAACCATATATTTGTATGTACCTTACTGAATGGTAGATTTCAATATCATTTTTTTGGTTGTTTGGGTTTTTTTGTTTGTTTGTTTGTTTGTTTGTTTGTTTGTTTGTTTGTTTTTAATCAGTGGCATTAGTTGCTGCTTTTTCTGCTGCTTTTCTCATTGTCCTGTGCTATGATATCCAAATTAAAATATGGTACTTTTTTTTTTTTTTTTTTTTTTTTAGCAGGTTTTGCAATTTTGTTTTTTCTTATCCAATTAGGACACGTTTTCTGTTTAAAGAAGACATTACTGTGATTATTAAAGCTTTTTGTTTTTATGGTTTGCTAAATGGATTCAAACCATTTCATGGTTTTACATGAATTACTGAAGTTTTTCGCTTCTATGCTGAAGAAAAGGAAATAGGATGTTTGGGGAAGGTAGTGTTGGGAAGTGATGCTGTACTTTACATGTATTTTGCTTTTATTTTCCTAGTTAGTTGGTGAATTTCTCGAAGTCACTTGTATCAACCCAACTTTCATCTGTGATCATCCACAGATCATGAGTCCTCTGGCCAAATGGTAAGGGTATGATATGCAGTCATAATGTAATTCTTTTAAGTCCTTCACTCCTACTTTATTTAAAAACAAACAACAAAAACAAAACCTGGAGGTACTGATGTTACATGTTAGTTAAATATTATTCTGACACAAGCCTATATATAGATCTTGGGTCCTGAGCTGTGAAACCCAGCATCCAGAGGAGAGGTATGTTCATGCTGACTAATCTAGACAGCTGTTGCTGCCAAATATGGGTAATGCACCCAAAGTAATGTACATGCCCTTTCAGTCTTGTAAATCCATTTTATTTAAGATGTGGTTGATTTGTCATTTTCACATAGGCATCGTGTTCAGCGGGGACTAACAGAACGCTTTGAGCTCTTTGTGATGAAGAAGGAAGTGTGTAATGCATACACAGAACTGAATGATCCTTTCCAGCAGCGGCAGCTTTTTGAAGACCAGGCCAAGGTAGGATGTTTCCCTAATAGGGAACCAATGATTTAGGTATGTATAAAAGTATTTTGAAATTTGACACTGGTCCTACTGATGAAAAGGGTTATGATTACACAGAGTGAGCGTTCCTCACTTAAGTGAAAGCCTGTGGTTAAAACTTGTTTACCATACAGCAAAGTTCCTTTACAAGAAAGCAATCTAACCTCTGCTATCGAGTAGTACTTCTAGGCTTTGGAATATCTTTATCTTTAGTAAAGCATTTGGTGCTGCTAAACTGAGGAACCGTGGTCTGAACAATCAGATGCTGAGGTGGACTGTGAACTGGCTGAAGGAAGGAAGCCAAAGACTTGTGGTCAGTGGGACAGAGTCTAGTTGGAGGCCTGTATCTAGTCCCTGAAGGGTCAGTACTGGATCAGTAGTGGGATTAGTACTATTCATCAATGACTTGGGTGAGGGAATAGAGTGCACTGTCAGCAAGTTTGCTGATGACACAAAACTGGGAGAAGTGGCTGAATGCCAGGAGACTGTGACGCCAGTCAGTGAGACTTAGGCTGGAGAGTTGGTCAGGGAGAAATTAGTGAAATATAACATGGACACGTGTAGAGTCTTGCATCTGGACAAGAGCAACCCTATGTACCAGCATAGGTTGGACTGATGTGTTGGAGAGCAGCATAGGGAAAATGGGTCTGGGGGTCCTGGTGGACTGCAGGGTGATCATGAGCCAGCACTGTGCCCTTGTGGCCAAGAAGGCCAGTGGCATCCTGGGGTGTATTAGAAGGGCTGTGGTTAGCAGAGCAAGAGAGGTTTTCCTCCCGCTCTACTCTGCCCTGATGAGACTGCATCTAGAATGTTGTGCCTGGTTCTGGGCCCCTCAGTTCAAGGACAGGGAACTGCTTGAGAGAGTCTAGCGCTGAGCCACAAAGATGGTTAAGGCAGTGGAGCATCTCCCTTTCAAGGAGAGGCTGAGGGAGCTGGATCTCTGTAGCTTGAAGGAGACTGAGGGGTCAACCCATTAATGCTTATGAATATGTAAAGGATGAGTGTCAGGAGGATGGAGCCAGGCTCTTCTCAGTGAAATTCAATGATAGAACACGGGGCAGCGGATGGAAGCTAGGAGGTTCACATAAATATGAGAAAAAACTTCAGTAAGGGCAACAGAACACTAGAATGGGCTGCCAGAGAGGTTGTGAGGTCTCCTTCTCCTCAAAACCCACCTGGACACATTCCTGTGTAACCTGGTCTAGGTGTTCCTGCTCCAGCAGAGGGATTGGATGAGATGATCTTTTGATGTCCCTTCCAATCCCTGACATTCTGTGATTCTGTGATTTTATTTCCCCTTTTTTTTTTTTTTTTTTTTTTTGTACCTACAATGCTGATTGAAAAAAGCAGATAGACAGTTTAATCTGTCTTCCTGAAATTTGAAATTCAGTTATTTTTCCACAACAAAGCCTTTGTGTAATCATACAACACGATACTTCTAGCTTCTTAAATAATTTTCCATGTCCAGTAAGAGTTTGAGTGGAATGACATATCTCATTTTCAGAACTGAATTCTTTTAAATTGGCTCACATAATAGAGCTGCATATTGGAAGCTATTAAGACAACAAATGTGTAGAACTACATGTCTGTACTGTTTTGTTAGTAGGTACATGTGCATACACGTGGATGCGTGTGTGTGCATGGGATTGAGGTCAGATGGTGCAGTCTGCAGAAGTTCTGTTCTTCCTTTTCTTTCTGATGGCTTTGCAATACCTGAGAGGATTAAAAAATTGTCAAGCCCAGGAAAATCTAATTTATGTTAAATAAGTTAATAGTAAATTTCAGAATGCTGTGTGCATGTTTGCTGCGCTTGTCTCTTTATAAACACGACCAGACTTTGTAGCCCTTTGGTTGTGTGTATGGAATGAAAATTTCCCTGAAAATATAATGTTAAGGCAGAAATCGAGTTGAAGAGTGTCCATTCATATTTTAGAATTTCAGACTCAGAGTAGTTTGCTTTAAAACTGTTGCAGTTTTGAAACTATGTGAGCCAAAATGTTTGTTGTTTCAATAGTTACACATAAGATTTATTTATTATTATCACCTTTAGCGCTTGGAGGCTGTTAAGAGTAAGTTTACATAAGAAGCAGCAGTTAACATCCCAGTGTTGTGGGTTTTAATATTTCTCTTGAAGGAAAATAATCACTTAATTTTGTTTCATGAAACAAAGCAGTGATTCCAGTGACTCTGGTCCTTAACTGTTTCTGCAAGCATTAAAGGGGGACTCGGAAGCAATGAAGAGCTTGAGAAACATTTGAAAGCAATTGACTGCACTGTGGTCTCCTGTCGTGTATCTCCAGATACAGCTTTCACTACAGTCAGGAGGCTGACTCTGGAAAAGAAGCTTCTGGGTCATAAGGGAACTGAACTTTAGGTCGATTTGGAAACATATACAGTGCACCTGCACAACTTCACAGGTGTGAAATTCCTTTGTCACTGACTTGTGTGGCTGTAGAGGGACTTAGTTCCATCAGTGACATGGCTGCTACAAACATCTTCCTCCTTTCTGGTAGGAGTTAATAGCACTGGTACTATCCTAGCTCTGTGCAAACACCCTTTACTGTTTATTTTCTCGTATAGGCAAAAGCTGCGGGTGATGATGAAGCCATGTTTATCGATGAAAACTTCTGCACTGCACTGGAGTATGGACTTCCCCCTACAGCTGGTTGGGGCATGGGAATCGATCGCTTCACCATGTTCCTTACCGATTCCAGTAATATCAAGGTGAGTATTAGAAGCGGCAGCGCCTGCTGCTGGCTGCATCAGAAAATAGGAATGAGGTTCCGTAACGATGCAAAATAGCAGGGCCTACAGCCGTTTGTAGTGCTGTACGGCTTAGAACTCCGCCTCAGCGCAGCCGGCCCTCGTACCCCTCCTGCGCGCTCAGCGGTAGCCGTAGGCGCAGCGCCCTGCCCCGCTCCGCCCGTGTCTGGCGCAGGGCGGGGCAGAGCGGCGGCGGTCTCGCGAGACTTGTGCACGGCTGCGCTCTGCCGCCGGCGATCAGACCTCGGTGTCCGTTTTCGCAGGAGGTGCTGCTGTTTCCAGCGATGAAACCGGAGGACAAGAAGAAGGAGGGGCATCCCGAGCAGCCCGCCGAAGGCACCTCTGTGTGAAACCTGGGGCGGGCCACGAATAAACGCAGCGGTGTCCGCCGTGTGCCTGTTTCTTTGTGCGCCTGCGCGAGAGTTGCTTCTCCCGGCGGCCCGCGCGGGCGGGGTGGGGCTGCGGAGTGCGGTGCGGCCTCGGGTGCTTTTGGCGGGAGGTGGCGGCGCGGTGCCGTGCGCCGTTGACGGGGAGTGGGGGCTTCGGAGCTGTCATCGTGGGCGCGTGGGCGACCCCGTCGCTGAAGAGGGGCGGAAGCTCGGAGCCGTGCCGGGAGCGGCACTGTGAGATAGGAACGTCGGGAGATTACAGCCGCAGCTGCTGCTCGTGGGCTGCTCGGGGTCCAGCGTGGCTTTGGTTTATTATTATTATTCCGAACAATTTGGGAGAAACTAGAAAACTCCTGTTTGGCGTGACAGTTTGGAAAGGGGAGGTGCAAGCACTTCAGAATCTGTCCCAGAAAGGTGTTGCACAACAGCGTAGCAAGATTTGGGGGGACGGGCTTGTCACCGTGGTTGCATCCGGCGCAGAAGCTGCACTTGCAGGGGCGCCATGTGGTCAGCAGATGAAATTGCTGAGTTGTGTTATGAGCATTATAGGACCAGACTCCCTAAGCAGGGAAAGCCAGATCCAAGCAGAGAATGGACTTTGCTGGCAGCTGTGGTCAAAGTGGAATCTGCAGCTAAAGGAGAGGGTTCTGCTGATGTGGGGAGCCTGCAGGGTGAGAACTGAGTTGTGCTTTGAAGCTGAGGGGCAGCGGTGAATTTGCGATAATTCTTTTTTTTTTTTTTTTTATCCTTCAGGATACCCATTTATTTATTTATTTTAAAATAACAAACGCACCCTTTCCTGTCTCATTTCTCTCTATTGTGAAATTCTTCTGGTAAGAGCTTTTACAATTTCTGTCTGAAAAAAGAGAGTTGCAGTGAAATACTGTTGTTCAGACTGCAACTAAGAAGGTGAAAGCCTGCATTCAGCTATTTAGTAAGCGATGAAAGACTGGGCAGGTCCTAGATACCTGCAGTAAAAGCATTGGTGCACTGTGCTTTTTCTGCTGTTGTTCCCCGTCATCATCTTTTCTTTAATTGGCACTTTCAAGTTGCTGTAATGCAGATTGTAACTCATAGTTCTTAGACATGAGGAGTCTTTTGCTGCTGCTCACTGCTGGTTGCCTAGTGTGTCATACCGATGCTAGTACCTGTACTTTGTGATCATGACACTGGTGGTTCTATCTACTGCGTTCAGTTCTATAGTTGGAACATCTCGCTGCCTGCCTCCCTGTACGTTGCCCTACTGTACCCATTCAGTCTTCTGTACCGTTTTAACAAAATAACTGCATGACAACAGTGCTTCTGGTGATAGTTGTCCAGTTTGTTTTCTTTTTCAGTAACCAAGGAGGTTGTTGCTCTCGGAACTGGAACAAAATGTATTGGACTAAACAAAATGAGAAAAACTGGTAAGCATTATGTAAAATCCAAGACTACATGTCTTAACTTCCTTCTTGGTGATGCCATAGAATCAATGAAGAATGTTCAAGGCATTGAAGTCGGTCTTCTGGATTGAAGCCAGAAGTCTGAGGCAATATAATGCAGTCTTTATCCGTAGCAAGCAGACAGGAGTTTGACAAAATAGTGGCCTTAAACGTTTGCTGCCTTGAAGGTGAATAAGTTTTGTGTGGAAAAGAGCAGTTTAGGTCCCAGATCTACTTACCCAAACATTTAATAGCTAAAAGCAGAACAAAACATAACTGAAGTTATTGTGCTTCTGTCACCTGGTGCAGTCTAGTTTTGTTGTTGTCCACTATGAAAGATACTTGCGGTGTTAAGGAAGGCGTGACACGAGAGGTACTAGCCAGCTCTTTCTTCTTTTCTACATATTCCATGACTCTGCAGTACCTGTATAAGACAGGTGACAACCAGTAGCTACAATTTCCAATTGTCTGTGTAGTGCCATAGCAGCTCTATAACACTTGCCCAAAAGGAAAGTTATCTTAAATCTGGACTCCTCCAATTTTTATTTTTTAATCTGAAACTGTGTTGATACAAAACTAATATATATCCATAGTATGGATTTTGCCTGGTTCACTCAGAACACTAAGAAGGTCAAGTTATTGCCTTCCTTACTTCAATCTTTACTGCTAAGACTTCCCCTTGGGACTTGCTACAGACTGAAAGGGAGTTTTGATCTCCTTTTGTAGTGATCGGATGTTTAAAATTGGTATTAGGTTATTCCAACCTATGTTAAACCCTTCAAATGCTAGCAAATCTGCTGAACCTTTCCCCTGTTCATTAATACTGTGTATTCTCATTTGGTTCTTGCATTAGGAGACATTCTGAATGACAGTCATGCAGAAATTGTGGCCAAAAGGAGCTTCCAGAGGTGAGACATGAACACGTGCTCTTATTCCGTGCTGCTTGAGGTTGTTTGTTGTGATGTAAAAAAAACTTCTAACTTACGTCTGAAATAGCCAGAAATGACAGCTTCAGGAATGAGAATGCTTATTTCTTCCTTGTTATTATAGAGACCCTTTACAAAGAAGTAGGATGTTATTTCATGTGATTTCAGTGTTGGCATTATGACTAGGTGTTGAAGGTAGCATTTCACTATTTCCACATACATTCCTATGTTTGCTTAGAATCACAGAATGGTTTCAGTTGGAAGGGCTTTTTAAAGGTCATCTAGTCCAACTCCACTGCAATGAAAAGGTAGGTCAGATTGCTCAGAGCCTGGTCCAGAGCTTTCTTCTTCAGTCTACCTCAAACAGAAGGTTTTCCATCCCTTGGATCATTTTTGTGGTCCTCCTCTGCATGCACTAACAGGTCCATGTTTCTCCTGTGCCAAGGACTTCCCATCTGGATACACAACTCCAGGTGAGGTTTCATCAGTACAGGGTAGAGGGACAGGACCACCTCCCTTGACCTGCTGGTCACAATTGTTTTGATGCAGCCCAGGATACAGTTGACTTTCTGGGCTGCAAGGGCACATTGCTGGCTCATGTTCAGCTTCCACTTTGATTTTTTGAACTTAGTAAGGTTTGCTTGGACCCATTCCTTGTGCCTGTCTAGGTTCCCCTGAATGGCATCCCTTTCCTTGGAGATGTCAACCACACAGCTTGGTGTTATTTGCAACCTTGCTGAGGGTACACTCAATTCTGTTGTCATTGATGAAGATGTTAAAGAGCCCTCATCCCAGTACTGAGGGACACCACTTGTCACCAGTCTCCATGCGGACATTGAACCATTGAACACCACTCTCTGGGTGTGATCTCACAACCAGTTCCTTGTCAACTGAACAGTCCACCAATAAACACGTATCTTTCCAATTTGGAGAGAAGAGTGTTATGGGCGGATTATGTCAAATGCCTACTGAAGTTTAGATAGATGACATCAGCGGCTCTTCCCTTATCTATTAATGCAATTAATGCCATCATAAAAAACAACAAGGTTGGTGAGGCAGGACCTGCTCTTGACGAAGTAATTCTGGTATCCTTTCTCATCTCCTTTTCTTCCACACGGCTTTGCATACCTTCCAGGGGGATCTGCTCAATGATATTTCCTGTGGAAAGCGTGGGGAAGCTGGTTCATGGGACTAAGGTGGCAGAAGCAAATATCTGACTTTCTGTAGTTTTTTTTTGCTTGTGGTACTAATAGGGATGGGAGGGTGGTTGGACTAGATGATCTTGCAGGTCGTTTCCAACCTTGTGATTTTGTGATTTTGCTACTAAACTGGTTCTTATAGTCTGTTCTTAAACTGGTTCTTATAGAGTGTCAGGGCTGGTAATAAGTAGAGTGGTAGGAGTAGGTCCTGCCTGTGCAATGTGAGGAGGTAGTTAACTGTTCTGAATTTAACCCTTTGAGCTCTCATTAAGGTTGTAGTGGTTTGCTTGTTTATGGAGTATGTCAGGATGCTCTCTGACTACAGAAGCATAACTGATTGGCTCCTCAAATACATGATCAGGAATGAGCAAACAGTACTGGACATACAAGTTTTGTCATTTTTACCATGCATCAAAAGTGAAACAAATGGTTCTTGGAAACTTTCTGTCTAACAGGTATCTTCTCCATCAAATGCGCCTGGCAACTTCCTACCAACAATGCAGCATCTTTATTCCAGGAGCTGAAACTGGGAAATGGAAACTCAAACCAAATATCGTATTTATTTTCTTCTGTAGTCATACCCCGTGTGAGTATTTAGGAGTGAACCAATTTCATGATTCCCAAGCGTAAGAAACAGAAAAGATTTTACTTTTTCCAGGCTTTCCGGAGTAAGAGTAAGGTGGTAGGCAGTTCATGTCAACGCTATCAGTACGTGCCCTGAGAGGTACTTGACTGGGCTTCCACAGATATGTTTGGCATTTTATTTCACTGGATATGATCCGTGAGAACTCATTAAACCCAATAAACTGCTCACTGTATGGTGGGATGTTTGGCTTCCAGTAATGAAAATGTTAGACATCCTGTCATATTTCTTGATCACTTTACTTTAAATGTTTTAAATTGTTTTCCTGGACTCAGATTCCTATGGACAAAAAAAAAAAAAAAAAAGGGCATTTACTACAGTTCCTGTAAATAAATAAATACTCCTGTCCTGCTATGTCTCTCCACCCATCTTATGGAATGGAATGCAACCCATCTTATGGAATGGAATGCATCCTTTTGTTTTGTTACAAAAGACACTCCTGGAACGTTTGGAAAAAAACCCAACAAAACTAATGAGTGAAAAGAAACTAAAAACCATGGCACCGCAACGGAGATAAAGGCCTGTTGGCAAAACATAGGAATGCCACTTCTCAGCTGCTCAGATTCCTTGTGTGCTCTTTCAACCATTAGTCTGTTACCAAAGCAGAGTACTCTCTAAATGTCCCATCAGTATTTAACAGTGAGTTAGTACAGACACGTTACATTTTCGTAAATTTCATGTCATTGCTGGTATAGGCTGTAATTATTTTCTTCATTAATGCAAGATAAGAACAGAATCTACCATCTTCAAGTTTAATAGTAACTTCCTGACTTACTATCCTCACATGCTTCCCAGGTTTTTGGCTTTTTTTTTTTTTTTTTTTTTTTTTTTTGCTTTAAACTCATCCTGGAATTTTGGTTTTGAGCTTGTTTTAGTGACGTAAATTATGATTTCCATTCTAATTTGGTAGTGTTTTCTTTATTATTTTGGGGGTTGTATCATTTGGTTTTCCTGCAGATTTTTCACACTGATCATTGTATTACAGTCATTATAATTTTTTTTGAGTACAAATTTGTGAAAACTAGTAGTAGCCATAACATTGCTTTGATCTGTTAAGCTCATATGAGACACCTGTTTGGCTAACTTTGATGTTCATTCTTCTCTAGGTGGTGATGCTTCTATTATTCCAATTAGAGGAACAGAGAACCATCTTTCTAAATCAGTGAATGGACGTGATGTAACTGGACAGTCAGTGTTGTGCAGTAGTAACCATGATCATAGGGGCCCAGAAGATAAAAGGAAATCAGAGAAGATGGCAGGTAGTCATATAATCAAGAGAATGAAGAATGCTGATGGTGGATTTTTTTCCACGATCACTGAGGACGTGGCTATTCAGCAAGTATTTGTGAAACCAGAAGGCAGCGTGAGTCCAGAGTGCTGTGAATGTTCTGAAGAGATGCAGGCAGCTAACAAGAAGACCAACATTGACAAACTGAAGGCAGTAGACGTTTATAGAACTGGAGCAAAATGTGTACCTGGAGAGCTGAGTGACGCACTAATACCTGGCATAGAGTATCACTGTGTAGGGTTATTACGGGTGAAGCCGGGTCGTGGGGATAGAACATGCTCCATGTCATGCAGCGATAAACTGGCTCGCTGGAATGTGTTGGGATGTCAAGGAGCCCTTCTGATGCATTTCCTGCAGTATCCAGTGTATTTGTCAGCAGTTATAGTGGGGAAGTGTCCATACAGCCAAGAAGCTATGCAGAGAGCAATTATTGAAAGGTATGCGCTCTACACTGGAAGTTGGGTAGCTTGTATAGAAATTGAGTTATGGAAGACAACTTGTGCAGATATCCAAACTGAGCACCAGAGTCACTTGCAGAACGTGTGGACTTCGAAAATTCACTTTTTAAGAAAGTAGCCCTGTGTAGATGACTTCTGCTGACCAAAGTACTGATTAGACTTGAAGGTGTATAAAACAATTCATTAGATTCAGGATCTGCTTGATTATTCCTTTGTGGAACATTGAGAGGTTGTTACCTGCCCGAGCTTTTCTAGAAGCAGAAAGTAAAGCCTGAAAGAACACAGGTTTGGGATATTTTTAGCATAGTAAAGCTGAATTTTTCTCACTGTCTTCCAGAATTTATTTTATCAAAGAAGGTCAAGCAGAGCTTGTAATTTATTCAGTTGCCTATACTCAGGATATTCTCAATAATCCTCCAAGTCCTCTTTTATAGAGATGAGTTGGTGAGCAAAAGCAGCTTTTGTCTCTTCTAGGTAACTGAATAGTAGAGTCCTCAATACATTCCTAAAGTTGCAAATGTCTGAATAATGAATTCCTTGAATTGAATTAAGCTCCCAAGTACTTCTGTCCTGAAGACAAGTCTGTATAGTAACTGTTGTGTCACATTCTGAACCACTGAGCAGCTGGGGAAAGGACCCGGTCAGCCCTGGGAGCACAGGTGAAGCAGTTCAGCTGTGGGGCCAGAAGGGACGGAGCCTGGCTGCAGCTCTTAGACCTCATTGAAGGGCTGATTTGCCACGGGGGAAGGGGCTCTGGCTGGAGATCCCTCCTTGGTGAAGCTCTCCTCTGTAAACCTGGAATCTTCAGATACAGGGAGCAGTTTCTTCCCTTCCTTTATACCACCTCTATTGTGCCAGTCCTTTCATCAGCAAACCTCTGTTGTGACACCTTTCCCATTTGTATTGGTCTGTGCAATTGCTACACGGTCTCTCCTACAAGGCAATGAATGAGCACTTTGGTAGACTTTCTGCACACTTTCATATGTGGGTGTTTTAGGAAGGTGCTGGTTTTATGTTGCTTTTCAGAGTTTTCTTTGCTGAATTTAAAATAACATACTGAGGAATATTTTTTTGTTGGTTTCTGTTTTCACCATTTTGTTATTTAGTCCCAGGAGTAGAAAATAAATACTGTGACTTTGCCACGTGACTACTCACCCTGTAATTAATTTCATTTTTGTGAGTTTGCTGCTAATTTTTAAGAGCTCAGATGTTTAAAGGTTGCAGAAATAGTGCCTGACCAGCTACTTAATAAATACAGTCTGAAAACTGACTTTGCAAAGTACATCTGATAAGATGACCCTTAGCTTTAATTCATTGCTGCTTTATGTGAATACTACAATAGTTAAACATACACAGTTTTTTTCCTCCTCAAGTGATTCACAGAATCACAGAATTGTATGGGTTAGATGGGACCTCTAGGGATCATCAAGTCCAACCCCAAATTCTAATAACATTTATTGAGTGCTTGTGAAGGTAACAGTGCTGAGGTTGTATATGGAACTTTCTAGTCTTTGATTAAGAACCTTCAGGTTTGTAAAAATGTTGTTAATGTAGTGTGGTTGACTGTGTAAATAATTTCTGATTGTTTTTTTCATTTTGATTGCAGAATTATATTGCAGTTTTTATTTTGCCTGTCTTCTATGGATTTGTCCTAGCTTTAAACTGTATCTACATTAAAATTGGTTCATTGTAGTTTATGTAGGGTGGACAAGGTCTTACTAAACTATGTGGCTGTTTTTTTCATAGCCTAAACAGATACTGTTTAGAAGGGGGAAATGTCCCCAGATCTTCTTACCTCTGTTTTTCAGCTTGCATTCAGTTCTGTTTTAAAATGCAACGCATTTTAGATTGTGAAACTAAATCGTGCAGAATCTGCTTGTCCTGGAGTACAATTCTTGAAACTGCTTGCATTTCTCCATGTTTATTTAGGTGTCGGCACATCTCTTTGTTACCAGATGGTTTTCGCACTCAGGAGGTTCAGTTGCTGCAGTCAGACCTTCAGTTTGAACATAGCCGTCAGGCCATCCAACAAGGTCAGATGAGCAGCAAAAGAAAACTGGTTCCCTGTAGCGCAGGTGAGTGAACGTGGGCTGGTTGTGTAATGGCATGCAAAGGGCCGAATGTAAATTGGGTGGATTTGGTGATGCTCTGTAAAATGTGGCATTGTTCACTGGCAGTGCTGGAGGCAAAGCGTGGTTTACAGCAGTAGAATAATTTGAAGACAGCACTGGAAAGTGCTTAGAGGAAAGCAGAGGCAGAGCATGAGCTGAGAATTTGTAGGAATATATAATCTAAAGAAAGGCAAAAAATAACTAGCCAATTCAAAAATTTTGAGGGTGAAAAGAAAAATATTGAGACTTCTTGTTTTAATTAGCTTTACCTTCTTCTCGATCAATAGAAAATTTGCCATATTGAAGTGTGCTTTTAAACTCTCCAGAAATTTTTGAATGTAGAAGGAATGCAGGAGAGCATAGCATAAAGGTTTTATAAGTTTGTAAGTTTATTTATTTATAAGTTCTTTGAGATGTTGCCTTTTTTTTTTTCATCGTAATGAATTAATGTGCAAATCACGTTGTAATTTAGCAGTGTGGTCTTGTTTTTGGTGGAGGAAGGAGGGGGAGGGAACTGATGGTGTGTGTGAGGTTAAGCAGTTTTTCAAAACTTCAACTGCTATTGTACTTGGAGATACCCTGTGATTGGAACAGACCTGATCATAAAACAGCATAGAAATAAAGAGCTCCTCTGTGGAATTCACAGATGCCTCAATTTGTAATTACCTGTAGGTGCCAATAAGGGAAAGATTTTTATACTGGGACTTGGGAAATAAAATCCATCATTGAAAAGTGGTGTGAATTAACTAAGCAAAAATAGTCTGTGGCAACCTGTGTCTAAATGTACTAAATCTAAAAAAAGTATTTTTTTAGTATTTTTGTATGGTTACTTAGGTCACTATGTAAGGAGTTGGTGAATATTAAACTGTTTTGCATGTATGAAATATACTAGATTGAGTTTTTCACGTAGCAATGAAAATCAAAATTAAATCTAAATTCATAGTTCTTAAGCTGGATATTGAGATGTGCTGGATAGGTACATTGCAGCTAGTATTTCTAAGAAGAACATGTTCAACTTAATATTTTGAAGTCTGCAATATCTAGAAAGAAATGGGGAAAAATAGAGAAAGTTTTGAATTTCAAGTCAGTTTTAATCTACTTTCTGGAGTTTGATGTCCTCTAAACAACTTATTTTTTAGATATTCTATACAGGGATTGTTTAATATTTGTGTATTTTATGTTATTTGACATTATGTAGGGATTTCACTTTTGTGGAGTACTGCAGCACTAAATCACCTAAGTCACAGCATAAGTACAGTTTGCATCAAGCAGAGCATAGCAACTGTAGCTGACAGCTGAATCACAATACATTACTGGTCTGCGTAATGTATAATGCTTTATATTATGTAGTTCTTGAGTATCTCGAATGGCAGGATGGCATCATAAGAGAAGCTGTGAAAATTCTCTTTAGACTTCATGTACATGCAGCTGTTTCACCCATTAGGAAGAGAGAGGAATGAGAGAGTTTAGGGAGCAGAAATTTCCTCAAGGCAGTAGATGTTGAAGATACTACTGTTCAGTTAGAGAGGGGCAGGCTGGGCATGTCAGTTTTGTTTCTGCAAACGTGTTTCTTCTGATGTTTGGTAGTTATTTATAAGGCTGTGAGGTGGGACATGCCAAGCTTCAGCCTGCAGAGCACTACAGGTTAAGATGGTAATCAGGTGTCAGGATAGGGGAAGAGCATAATGTTGTTGGCACTTGTTATCTCTTCCACCAAAGTATTTTTGTTTGACTATAAGCTAGTAACTTTTTTCACAGATGATGACTATGTACATTTGGTATGTGTCAATTATGACACATGAAGAGCAATTTAGAGGATACACAAAATAATAAGGAAAACAAAGGATGACTGGTAAAGGTATAAAGGTAGGCTGGTAGTTTGCAGACTGATGTGCAGCTGCCATCTAACTTGGAAGTTTCTTCATACTTTGTCTAGACTGGATGTACCAAAGAGAATAGAATCCTTCTAAAAAGGAGACAATGGTGAAGCTGTAGGCTGAATGTTTAAAGAGGCATGGATTCTTAAAGGAGCTGATGAAGATGAAGAGTAAAAGTGTGTGTGTATTTGTTTTTATTACTGCTTTTCTAATCGGAGTTTACCTGTGTACCCAAGAGAAACACAGTCCTCTTTCTATTTGTCTTAATTACTTTGGGAGAGTAGCGTGGTGTCATGTGAACTCAGAAAATTGAGGGAATGGTTAAGTCTTGTTTCTAAGAGTGTCTCCCTTGTTCTCAATCTTCTGTTCCCAGCTATCAGTTGGAGTGCAGTTCCAGAGCGACCTCTGGATGTCACCTCAGATGGCTTTCGGCAAGGAACTACAAAGAAAGGGATTGGAAGCTCTCAGAGCAGGTTTGAGAATGCTGTGATATCTAGATGCACGTATTTTACCTTTTAGCCTCTCCTTTAGGTCACTGTGGTGCGTGATGCATTGTTGGAGCAGAAACTTAAGGAGTGGGAATAAGTAAATATTGTGTAAGGGAGGGAAAGTGAGAGGAACTCACTTTCTTCAAGGGCTTTAGGGGCTGAGAAGTTTCCTGTGTCTTGCTTGTCGCTGTTAATAAAGAAAAACATTAACAGTGTTGCTGTGGAACTGTGATGGTTTTTTATTAAAAGACAGCTTATTTATTGGCAAAGCTAGCAGAGCTTTTACTTTGTAACTTTTAGAGACTGAAGGAAGTGAGCCTGTTGCAGGACTTCTTTAGTTGTTGCAGATTTCTCTTTCTGTAAGAGCTTTTGTAGTAAAAGATACTACATAAGGAATAAATAAATAAGGAATTTGTAGACTTACTACAGGGGGGTTGCTTAATAATAAACATTTTGTATTTCTATCCTCATTTCTTCTTCAAGGAATCTCAGAGTGATTGGTGGAAAATGTTGCTTGTTGGTCTGTTTTCCTCCATGTGAAATACTAGATAATTACTAGATAATGCTAAATGTTCTCTGCAAACTGTCAGAGTGCTACCTGGGACAGTTGGGATAATTCAGCTTTTTTGTGTGTAACATCTAAATCAAGAGTTTAAAAAAAAAAAAATTAGTGGGCAGCTCAGATGGGGTGGGAAGCGTTAAGGGGGGGGAGATTGAGCTGTGGTATCTGCAGCTCATTTTAGGATTGGGCAGAGGCATTTTGCCCTGACAGGGCTGACACTGAAGGAACTAATAGGTGAAAGTGCATTTCTTATCTTGTTGCTTTTTTTTTTTTTCCCCATCAGATCAAAGATCTGTAAAGTGGAACTCTTCCATGAATTCCAAAAGCTGGTGACAAGCATTTCAAAGGAGAGCTTACCAGACACTCTCCGGTAAATACATTCTCATCATATCTTTAAGAGTGAGAAGTTATTTTCATGAGGTTCGGGAACACTGCTGATCCCAGGCTCTGCCAATCAGTGTCACCTGAGATAAATCTACTGTTAAAATTTGAGACTTGAATAATATGTCATATCCCTGATGGGTTAGGAAGTCTTTTTGTTTTAAATTACCTTGTTGGATAAACAGCTCATGTATTAATGAGAGAAAAGAAGCTGCAGGTTGTTTCTGTGCGAAGGCTTACTGTTTTTGAACTGATGTGTTCTTTTTCTGATCACAGAGCCTTGTCATTCTCTAGATGTGCTGTTTTCTGGACCCCTCTGTAAGCCTTTCCAATCTGTTATCTTGGCAGAATTTTTTTTTCCCCCTTGAGTCGAAGCAATCTTGTCCAATGTCAGTGAGCAACTGGGAGAGGGGGAGCAAAGAGGGAGGTGAGAGGAAGGAGGTAGGATTTTCTGGAAGTGTGAGCTGCTACCACTTACCTTCAGCATGGGATTCAAAGCCTCTGTCCTCAAATGGTTCTGTGATTATTGATATCTCACTGGTGTTTAAGCAATTATATTAGATGCCATCTCTTTCTCCTTCATAATAAGAGTTTGAATAAAATTTTTTTAGTCAAATGTATGCAAAAATCTTTGTTCATCAAAGCATGTGATGGAGCAGGAGCTAGTGAGATGAGATAAAGCTGGAGCAAATAAAAGAACCCATGCAAAATAAATAAAAATAGAAGGTATGTGTGACTGGGAGCAGGGGAAATAGGCCATCTCTTCCTTTCATTAGCACTAAGACACCAGGGAAGATAAACTCAGCCATAGTAAGTGCACCCTCAATCTTTAATTATTAGGTTTTACTTGGTTTTAAGTTTTGTGAATTACAGATTGCAGTTATCTTCTGTGTATTTAAAAGCTTCAATGTCAACATGACCTATGTTGTTGAAATGGTTTTAATTGATGCTGTGTGGAGAGGCACATTTTCTTCTTAATTCAGTTTAAAATTATCACTCTCTTTTGCAAAGGAGTTGCTTGTGGCTTACATCACTGTTTTCTGCCAACATAGCATGACCTGATTCACTGTTGAGTAGCTGCCTCCTTGTGCTGATCTCGTGCTCCTTACATAAAGTCACTTCACCTCAGGCCTCTTCTTGAGTTCAGTGGCTTTGTAATTTCCTTTGGCATTTTTGTCCTTTATTATTTTTCTGTCTTGTCTTCTGATAAAGTGCAGATGACTTGCACATGTGGCATTATTTTTAGGCTGCACAGGCTCTGTTTGCACAGTAGAGGTGCTGGCTCACCACCCAACTTGTCCAGTTGCTTTTTTATTTTTTTTTTTCAGGACTTCATTTAACTCTTCTCTAATTTACTTTTGTTCACTGCTAAGATACTGGGGCAGTTAAAGCTTTGCAGTGAACTAATGTAGGTGATTATGATGATCTTTTGTTTTCTTTTTTCCTATATGTAAATCTGCTTCTGCTTTTTTGACCCTCTCTCTGATTCTTCACATCTCTTCTGAGGATCAGCATGGGCAGTGTTAAATTGGAACAAGCCGAGAGCCTGCTTGGGGCAGAATGCTTGAAATTGCTGGTGTATAAATCCATCTCTCTGGTTTGGTTTTTGGTTGGTTGTTTTTTTTTTTTTAGCTACAGCAGCCAGACTGCTGCCTCATTCGGTTCTCTTACTGGTTCCATCTCAGCTGCTGCATCACTTTCATGTTATCATTCCTTTGATAATGAGTATGGAAAAATGTGTCATGAGGAGCAACTCAGTTTTCTTCTTACTTTCTACTGTAATATTTTCATGAAGGAGGTCAATTGGAATAATTAAGTTAGACAAATCCCTTATGTGTGTTACTTAAATTGGGTCAGACTGCTGGATGTGTACTGAAGAACCATTCAGTTGCCAGCAGATTTAGGAAAGAAAAAAAAAATAGAACAAAACAGCATTCAGGGAAATGAGGTAGGCATCAATCTTTATCTTGGCTTAGCAACTGACTGAAAAATGTCTGTGTAATGCATATGTACCTGTGTGTATATGTCTGTATGCATCAGCATCTACAGTACATGCAAGGAAAATAGGTGTTTCACCTTTAACAAGATTAAGTTAGCTCAAAAATCTGTGTACTGTAATTCTTTTTTGATCTTTGACCATGCTAGAATGTACAGGTAACTGTTCTGAAGATGTAAACAGCATCTGACATCAGCTATTCTAGAGTAAAGGACAAATACAAGTCATGGCCTGAATTTACAGTGAAGGACAGCATCAAAATCTTAAACATCTTGGAAGCACTTTAAGTATAGGAAGTGTGGTAGTGTAATGATTTCTTCCCAAAGAAAGTGTCGGTCATCACCCTTGAGTATGAAGCACACAACTCCTGATCGGAACTGGTTAAGGTCCACAGTCCTTGGAGCTGTGTTGTTCCCTGAGCTCTGCTTATGCAGATAATTGCTGGTCTTTTAGCTCTTCAGTGATGCCCTTGAAGCACAGTTTGTGCAGGCAGGTTTGTCAGAGTGCACACAAGAGAAGTTGTGGGTGCCCCATCCCTGGAAGTGTTCAAGGACAGGCTGGATGGAGCCGTGGCAGCCTGCTCTAGTGGAAGAGGGCTGTAACTTAGATAATCCCTTCCAATCCAAATCATTCTATGATCTGTACATCTCCTGTGTTCAGCAGTGGCACATAGGCAAGTTCACAGCCTTCCATTTTCCAGCCCTAAGGTCTTTAGGATAGGTAATATATCATGGTTTGCTGTGCGTATCACACTGTTATAACAGAAGGCTGAAAGACTGAATTATAGTTTCTGGTCAATCTGCTGGTATTTTGGGTGGTGGTGGTGACTGTGGTGCTCCTTTTTCTGGAGCCTAGCGCCCTGCTCCACAGACCTCTTGCATTAGGCTTCCTTACAGCAGTTTGGCTCCTCTTTCTTGAGGAAGGTCGTGTTGCCCATGATATCCCCTTCATATTGGGTTGAATTTATAAACATTTTGTCTCATGCAGCTGATGCCATTCAGCAAAGGGAGAAGAGGCTGGCAAAAGTGCAAGGAAATGAACGAAGTCCTGATGAAACTGTTTTAGAGGTGTTTGTGTTCTCTTTTCTCACTGGTGATCAGATACCATGAACTTGTAATTCTGTCTTCTGAAAATTGATGCATTCAGCAGAGTAACTACTGGTTCTGAGATTGCAGGGAATGGGTGCTACATGAGGAGAGGGAGCAGAGCACCAAGACTGAGCCTCTTAACGCTTTAAGGAGATGATTTGGTGTGGGTGTGTGTGTGTGTATTTAACTTTAATCTCGCTCTTTCCCATTATTTTATGTTGGAAGACTCTTCTTCCCTATCCCCTTCCCTGCCAACCAGCAATCACAGCTGTTCTAGCAAAATATTAAAGCACCCATCTTTATCCACCTTTTCTACTTTGCATCAGCATTTCTTATTACCATGAAAGTTCTCTGTAATATATTGTCACAAAGGCACTGGTAACTTCTGTTGCTGAAGAGTGTGTATGAAGCGTGACAGACAAGTTTTTTTTCTTGTATAAGAATCCTGACAGTGTCTGAAAACACTGGTTTCCTAAAGGCCTTGGTCTCTCTAGGTTTCCCTAGTGACGTGCAGAATCAAACTCTGTAACCCAAGTGAGATTACAAAGCAGGTACAGTTTATTCAGAAGACTAGAAGAACAGGAGAATTTCATTTAGTGGCATGGAAAAGCTCATAGGACATTATCGTGTTCTTACGTGTTTGGTTGCTTTTTTCATTTTGTGACTATATATCTAAAAGAGTAATATAAGAATTGTCATTGCTGTGTGTTTTCTGTCAGGATGAAGACTCTGGAAACCTACTTGGACTACAAGGAAGCTGCATTAAATTATCAAGAAGCCTGGAAGGCACTGCGTAGCCAGGCACTGCTGGGCTGGATCAAGAATGCCCAGGAGTATCTGCTCTTCACATGAGAATAAAAGCAGCTATGTAAATCCAGCAGTAAGCCATGGAACACAGCAGATACCTCTGCTGGTTGAGGGATGCAAAAAATATCCTCTAGTTCCTATGCCAAAGGAAGACAGAACTGAAAAGGGAAGCGATTTAGAGAACTCATTGTTTTGATTGATCTGAAGCCTCCTTTTTATTAAATATAGGAAAGGATCATTGCATACTTAATTCTGAGCTGCATGAAACAATTCAAAACAAAGGAAGCAGTGATGTGCTATCCTCTGTTTCTTGGTATTATAATCTATCAGAGTCCACTATAATGGAAGTGACATTAACTAAAATTGGAGCAGTGCTATGGAAGAGGCTGCTGCTGTGAAACTTCAGTGCTTGTTTTTCTTCTACTCTTCATAACACTGAGGTTGTTCTTGTGATGCTGGGACAACCTAATGTGTAGTAAGTCGTATATTTTATAACTCTTGTCTTTCCTTGTGTGGAAGAATTTTCTGTCCCTCCAGGCCCATTGCTCCTAACTGGAAGTAGTTGTTTTCAGGGGTCTTCCTCTGGAAGTCCTTTGTATCAGCTACTGTTGTGACAAGGACCCAGAGCAGAAGCAAAAGAGCGCTGGGGATAAAGCTGTCAAATAACACTGTTCATGGTATTCTGTGCATGTCTCATGATTTCAGTACCACACCACGTGCCCTTCATTTGTTGTGCTTCTGTGTACAGGAAAGACACTTCCTAATTCTGTGCAGTTCCAGGCAAACATTTACATACACTTCGGTGTTTCAAGCATGGGTCATTCTTGCTTTTTGTTTTTCCTCCTTCAGTGATACTTCATTAAAAGCAGAAATGCCTTAGTGATTTATGTCAGTGTTTCCTGGTAAATGTTTGTTAAAAAGCCCCACCAAGGTGGGGACAGCAAGTAGTCTCTGGCAATCTTTTCCTTTATGCTTGATTAACAACTAACATCTGAATGGTAGAACAATCCACATTGCTTGCCTGGGGGAGGATGAATGGGTAATTCTCAAACTTTGTCCAAATTATTGCCGTCTGTGAGCAAGTTCAGGACTGCATGACTGATACTGAGCATACTTTCTGTGCCTTTTCTCTTGTAACTTATTACTCCTAATGTTTGGACGATGCAATGGCGGGGTGAAAGAAGTAATTAATTTACAACTTAAAAATTGTTTAGTTATTGGAGTGTTTTGTTCTTTAGTGTTTTAACTGTTTTGTATTTGAAAAATGGGCACAGCAGTTCTCAAATCAGCTTTTACTGTCAACCTGCAGAGCTGCATATGGAATTGGAAGGTGGGTAGCAGAGATCACGTTGCAGCATGAGAACTGATTAGAGCAGATCATTTTGCTTCATACTTCAGTTGACTTTTCACGTAAGAATAGTTACCTTTTTGTTGAAGGACTAACAACTTGAATTATGTGCGTGCAAGCCTATCCTCTGAAGTCCAGCACTGACATCCAGAAAGACCGGTTGAGTTGGTGAAAGGAGAGCTGTTCTGTGTTTGTAGGGGGCAGGAGATTATGCAGAATGGTTGATTTGTATTAGTCATTAAGGTTGGAAGATGGCCAGGTGCCACTGCAGATGGGTCCTGGATGAACTGCTGAGAAGTGGTAGCAGTTGCTGTGAGTGAGCAAATAGCAACCCCACGGCAGTCCTGTGCTGTAACTAAAGAGGTAATCAATAAATTCCTAGGCTCCTGAAATCTACCTCTGTCCTTCCCTGAAGTCTTGCAGAAACTATTCCTTAACATTCCTCGTTTCCCTTCGTTAATCATCAGCAAGGCCCCTAGTGAACCTGCCGACTGGACTGGAGTATTTCCAGTTCTTATCCAGATGCAATATTGAAATGCGTTACGTAAACGCATTATAATAAAGTTAGTTGTTCTGCATTCCTGGCATCAGGCTAGTTTTCGGATGAGCAATTATGTGATGCAAATGCTTTTAACTCTCCTAAAATTTGTGCCTGGCAATTAGAATTGTTCCAAGTAAGGTTTTCATGTGTATTTGTAAAGCACTTATCAACTGTAGACTGCTTATTTCTAATACTTGTGAAATTTAAAAGCAGTTTTAGAGGTGCTGAACGCTAATATGAACTTTGTTTTCTGAGTGAAGTTAAGGACGTATTTAGTCTTATAGTGAGTCAATGAATACTCAGGAAGGGAAAGAACTAAGACAAGGCAGCATTTAGAAGACTTGGGCTAAGTCTTACAGGATCACAGAATGGCCAGGGTTGGAAGGAACCTCAAGGATCATGAATCTCCAACCCCCCTGCCACACGCAGGGCCACCAACCTCCCCATCTCATACCAGCCCAGGCTGCCCAAGGCCCCATCCAATCTGCCCTTGAACACCTCCAGAGACGAGGCATCACAGCCTCTCTGGGCAGCTGTTCCAGCACCTCACCACTCTCTGTAAAGAACTTCCCCCTGACGTCCAACCTAAATCTTCCCTCCCTCAACTTCAAACCATTTCCCCTGTCCTGCTGTTATCTACCCTTCCAAAGAGTTGACTCCCCTCCTGTCTGTAGGCTCCCTTTAGGTACTGAAAGGCTGCACTGAGGTCACCCCGCAGCCGCCTTTTCTCCAGGCTGAACGAGCCCAGCTCCCTCAGCCTGTCTTTGTAGGGGAGGTGCTCCAGTCCCCTGATCATCTTTGTGGCCTCCTCTGGACCCTCTCCAACAGCTGTCGTTTTTGTACAGGGGACCTTACAGTCTGCTTGATAGGATTTCTGGGATTGAAAATAGGTGTTGAAATGCTGCAGCTGATTAATTAGAAAATGTCAGGAAACGCTGTAAGTAGAACTGAGGAACAGCTCTAAAAATTGGAAGACAAAACTGCATAAAGATCACAAGCTCTGCTTTTGGAAGAGGTAGCATACTAAACTATTGGCATTACTTGTAGATCTCTGAAAGAATTGCTCTTGGAATATAGCAGTTGACATGTTCCAAGCTTTTATTGCTTCTTCATGCTGCAGTGTAGCTGATGCACTGAAAAACAGAGGTAGTTAAGGTGTACAGAGGACAGTATAATGCAGAGATGGCTGAAGAGGAGCAGGTTGGAGGGAGGAGAATGCTCACAGCTTACGGTTAATGAGGAAAAACAATAATTGGGAATGGCAGGACTTGTGAGGGCAGAGACATGGCATATGTAAAGTGTTCTACATAATATATCACCTAGTTAGATGCATGGCTTTTCCAAATCAGTATAGGGACTGATCATCCCTATTTGCCAAAAGCCAGTAATTCTTAATTTGTGTGGGATGCCTACAACAGATTCACGGATGGAGAAATTGTACGAAGGCTGGGTGGGCAGCTCACTCATTTTTAAGGAAGTCGGGATCAGAACGTAAACAAGTGTTTGGCCAGGTCTGAAGTAGACTTAGCATCCATTTGAGTTTGTGATTATGTAAGATTATATGGTAGCATCTCTGCCTTAAAAAAGCGAAGTTCTTATCTTCAGCGTGTACTTCTGTTGCTCACCTCACACTGGCTTGAATGCTTACTGTTTTGAATACATTCAGAGTAAATGGAAAAATGATTGAAATTACTGTCTTAGTGGAAAAACAAACCAAGCAAAATGGGTTTTTGCTAGGAATTGCCAGTTTTGCAATTAATCCAGTAAACACAAGAGCCTTACTTCCTTTTGTTGATTACATACTGTTAGCTGGTTATGAAACCGCACCTGGAGGAAATGCTTGAGGCATAAATATGAAAACGAGTTACTTACTGCTGGAAAGTTACTACTGATAAAGGGGGAGGAAAAGTGTTAGAGGAAAACTGGCCACCAAATGCAGTTGAGCAGTTGAGCTGCTCTTTCTCAGAGCGTAACAGTCCTGGAAATCAATAATGTCCTCACAAGGGCATTGCAACATTCATGATGTACAGACGGGAAGCAAGCTAGGGTTTGAGGAAATACACATACTAGATGAATTTAGATGGTTTGTTTATACCAAAGATGATGTTTTATGTAAGCTTAAAAATAGGGAAAGAAAAAAATAGAAGTGCTGCTGTAGAAATAGTAAAATTCAACTTCATTTGTTCAGTGTATAAATTGCAATGTCTTCTCAGTCCTTAAGGCTTAACAGAAAGGCAAGATCAGATGGATTCAGATGTACCAAACAAGTTGCTTTTAATTGGTTTGTAAGAGACTGCTCTCAGCGGGGGAGGTTCAGAATTAAAATCTGTTTTATTGCAGTTTCAAGTACATCTGGCAGCTGCAAAGCAAAGCTGCCGCTGTAGAAGCTTTTATTTCTGCATTTGCTGTCATTATTTGTGTAGCTGGGGTCCTAAGTCTGAACAGAAAAGTTAAGAGTAGTTATTTGATTTTTAGAGGACTATGAAAGGTATTTCTGAAGTTAAGTTGTAACACTGGGAATAAGACTTCATCTTTTCTTGTTTGATTAGATATATTTGCATGCTCACAAGTAATCAGCTTTCTCCTGCAGTTTTAAGGGCAAAGGTACAATTTTACTCACGTTAGCAGCTAGTTAACTTATTACCACAGATAAATGGAGAAATTTCAGCTGAAAGGAAACAACTCTCCTGTTTCAGTAGAACAGAGTATTACAGATCATAGCTGCAGCCACTTAATTCTGAATCAAAAATTCTGTTCAGAGAAAACAGTACCCAAAATCCACTGAAGGGGGGATGGAATGAACCCATGGAAGAAACAGTGAAAGAATGTTCACTAAGGTACTGCTATACACTGTGTGCTATTTCAAATAATGAAAGGCTTACCGAAATCAACTGTGCTCTTAGGGCAGTAAGCGCATGCAGCTCTGTTATTCTAACAAGCACCAGAAAGTGTGGTTTCAATATTTCACGAGCTCCAGTCTCTTCATGGAGGAGTCTTTATGCAGAACCTCTTGGACCTGCAGAGCCAAACGTAATTCTAGGCATAACATGGCTTTATGGGAACTTGAGTCCAGCATGAGTGTGATTTACACTTGGAAAGCAACGCATTTCCTGTCCAGAAGCATTTTGTAAAGTATAGTTCTACACCATTTAGCATAAAAATTAAAACATTTTATGAAGAACCTAAACTGGAGTTAGTGACTCCTTTTTGACTCGTGAAGTTAAAAGCAATGCTGCTTTTCCAATGTAATTCTGTCCTTTCTTATCAGAGCATGAACTCCAGTACTGTGCTGGCAAATTTTTGATTTTGTTGTTTTTGATTTTGCAGTTTCATAGAACCAAACCTGTGACTGAACTGCCTCTTAAGTAGACATAGTTATGGTTTGATGGCAAAACCTCTATTTTTGCTGTGCTATGCTTTAGCAGCAGTGCTCATAGACTACAGCAAGTGATATTTTAAGTCTTTATCTTGTATGCAGCATCTCTAATTCTAGTTCTCTATTTCAGAAAAGCAAAGCTACTTTTTTCACATACTTGTTTCTGTAATATCCTTAAAATGCCTACTTAATTTTTTTGCTTGGACAAGATGTTACATGTTCATGCCCCTAGCATGACTGCTGCTGTGTGTTGTGGGGTTTTTTGTGTTTGTTGCTTTTTTAAGAGCTGCTAATGCAACTGTTTTAATATGTACCCCTTACCAATTATTTCTCTCTCTCTCTCTCTCTAACAAATTGTTCCTTCCAGTTCTCTACTCTCTGGTTCCCTATTAGTATAATTCCTTCTTCAGGGTGCCCTTTATATGCTATGACTTTGTCACGTAGGTCCAGCTTCTCAAAGCCCACAGTATTTACTTCTCTCTTGATAGCTTGTGTAAAGGACTGGCTTTTCTTCTGATTTTTTCTTTCTGAAATTATCTTTCTTTTCTTTCTGAATTTATTAGATTTAAAATCCTACAGATAGATCCTCTTCCCTCCTTCTGTCACTATCTGCATCCTAAATGCTGAGAAACGGCACAGAGTATAGTAAATAATGTGAACAGTTGTATACTGCCTAGTAAATAAGATATCCAATTTCCTGACCAAGGTAAAGAAACGACAAAGCTCTCCGTGGTAGGAATTTTTATTGTTTGTTAAGTGAGAAAGAGGTACATACTAGTGCAGTTTTAACATGATCAACATCTTGCTACTGCTTACGATAATCTAGCAACTCCAGTGTTCTCAATACTAATGCAACGCTTTTATTTTTCATAAACTTAACATCTGAAAACAGAATAAATGTGCATTCTTCTTTCCATATTTTAGAAGCCCAACTACTTAGCTTTATTATTTAATCAATGTGTAGATGTAACTTCCAAAGGAATGAGGCTCTAGGAATTCATAGCCATGAGAAAAAACACAAAAAAACCTTTTTTTCATAATTTAACCGTCTAATAAAAGACCTGTCTATTGTTAGGAAATAAATCCAGTTACAAATGCATGTATAGAGAAGGAACTTCTGTGGATGTCAGAACAGAAAATGATCAGCTATTTACAAGGTGCACAGCAGGATGATATAGTAGCCAAGATCCACCATTCAGAAACCAAAGGTGTTCTCTCCACTGTAGGCAACGTATAAGAATCCATCTTCGTCTTTCTCCTTCTCATAAAGTTGTCCCATAGTTAAGCTTGAAGGAAAAGAGAAACAGCTTTCTTACAAGATGACCATTGCAAATGGTAATTCAACCTCACGTAAACAAGGCTTCATAAAAGCTAATGTTAAGTTTGTATGTAAAATAGAATACAAAAATAAGAACATATAAAAAGCATCTGACATCTGTGCTCGCAAAGTGTCCAGTGCTCTCTCTGGAACGTTTCTGTTAGATTTCTGTTACTTCTGTACATCACAAATCTGTTTATCACAGTGCTTCCTTATATTGAAAATTAGTCACTGGATGTATTTCTGTTTCTGAATCAGACATTATTGTGGCCGTCACTTAACAGCAAGATTAAGAGCCTGACAGCACCTTCTTTGCAGCCACATTGAAACCTTGCTTCTTGAGTAAACAACCTGATTTCTTCCTCCATGTGCTACAGTCCTTACTGTTCTGACGATCTCAAATTCATCACAAGTATTTTCTGGACAGTTTCTTTCAGATCCAGGTTGTTTGGGGAAGTAAAAAGCTCTTTTGTCTATATTGCTAAGAAGTGATGACTATAAAATAGTGCTGCTACCAAAATTCCAAACCAGTTAGAAACTAGTACTTCTTGAACATTTGGACAACTTAATTACTCATTTATTTTATGAGGATAGGCTTGTGGCCCTTCACAATCTAAGTAGCCTTTTGTGGGATGACTGTATTATGAAAACAGAATCAAACCCAAGCGATGACTTGGCCAGCACAATAACACAGCTGTCTGTGAATGACAGATAAACAGTGACTGATGTGTGTCAGCTGCATAAAGATGCTCCTTCAGATCATCTTTTCTAACTTCCCAAGAGTGTCTGAGAAAAGGACAGTGAACTGAAAGATAAAGACTGAATGTGGGTGATGGGGAAACAATCACGGCTTTTTCCCTGTGAGAAAGGGGTAGTGCACAAGGAGAGGAGCTGGGGAGAGCTGCAGACAGTATTTGAAATTGATGGAAATTGAGAAATAGTAGATAACCACCTAGATGAAAAGGATGTTAGGAGTTTATGCAGCACCATTAGCCTGGAAAACGGGCAGAACTGTGGACCGGTGACGTTTTTGCCTCTTAACAAAAGTTCCTATTTTTACATCAGCTCGAAGGTTCAACGCCTTGTATTTTCAGCAGGGCTGTGATATCATCATTGCATGCGATGATACGGCGTGCCCTTTTTTCTTTTCCTTTCCTGCTTGTTCCTATCAGTTCTACAGTACTGAGAAGATGGGACTAAGGCATTCCTAATACTCCTAGAAGAAGGAAAAGAAAAAGTCCTCACAGGTCCTATGATGCTCATAGGTGTCATGAATTAAGTAAAAATATTTCTACCTGAGTCTGGTCAGGTGATCTGGAGGTGCTGTTACACAGGTAAGCGTTAACAAGAATAACACTGCCTCTAAACTAACACCACATTCTATTTCCTCAAATATTATTAAAATAGCTTGTACAGCAAGCTGCTGTAGTAGCTGCTAACATCATGTTTTGTTCTGTATGTAGCAGACAACCGTTGATGCTTACTCCGCTCTACAGAGCAGTGTTTTTCACATTACTTTTAGTCATTTTGCATTTAGTATTTACAGGGAAAAGTTATTTTTAAAAAAAAAAGTTTTTGTGTGAGCTGACAGAAATAGGTTAATGATTTTTTAAAATAGTTTACAGTGTTGGCTTTTGAACATTTAACATACAGCTTCTTTTGCCACGTGGAGAAGTTATCTGATATTTACGATGTCATAACCCCAGTCTACCTTCTTGCAATGTACTGCAATCAGAATGTCTTTTACATTCACCTTTCAGCTGAGCTTGAGGAACTAAATATTTATCAATATGTGTGACCAAAAAAAGTCATAGCCACAAGAAGATGAAAATGTGACCAAATGCCTTCAAAAATTGCTGACTAATCCTCAGGAGGGTTTCTTTTTGTTCCTCTGATACGTACAGCCATGCGAAAATGGTTCTGAACAGCAAGTGAACAGCTGCTTACCTGGACTGTGGGACAGTCTTGTCTACAAAGAGGAATATTGCTTTCTCAGAGGGCAGCTGAATCCTCTTCCTGATGATCCACATAAACTGGGCCACAGTGATGTCAGACGGAACTAAGTATTTCCTCTTGTCAATATCAACAATCTGAGATCCTGATACCTTCTCCACTATGACCTGTAAAACATGCATGAAAGTGAAGTTTTTCAGGACTGGTATGAACAGGCAGCTTTGATAGTGAGAGACAGGACTCCCTCACTACTGTACAACCTGATTTTACAGCTGTGCTGAAACTTACATTCATTTATACAACGGCTCAAAATTTCCTGTGCCTGAGCAGGGTGAAAAAGATGCAAGGTGCCCAAAAGAATCCTGGAAAACATCTGCTTCTTAAAGAAAATTATTTCTCGTATCCTGGAGATCTAAAATTACTTTTATTCAAATTGGGAGAGTAACATCCTATTGTGTTTAAACATGGCCTGCTAATTTTTCAAACTATCATCCACGTGCAGGATGATATGAAGCTTCGGAGAAAAAAAATAAAATAGAGCCCTGCTAGGGGTCAATTTAATGATAGAATCACCGAGATCCTGAGTAAGAGCTGAAAGGGCCTTAAAGAACATTCAGTTCCATACCCCTGCGATGCGCAGGGTCACCTCCCACCAGACCAGGTTAGCCAAAGCCCTGTCCAGCCTGACCTCGAGGTGGGGCATCCATGGCTTCTCTGGGCTGCCTATTCCATTGCCTCAGCAACCTCGTTGATGGAAATCTTCTGTTGCACAGAACTCTAGTCTGCAACGGGCAATACCAAGAAATAGAAGCCTGATAGGTACACCACCTCCACTCTTCAAACAACTGTGGTCTTTGAATAATGTCTCAAATCATTCCTAATACGTGACAGAGCCAACTGCCCTCATGTGGAGTATAACAAAAAATTTAGAACAAAATAAAAATCAATGTGAATGAGAGGCCGTTTTGCCTGCTGTGTGCAAGTCCTAAATGCCAAAATATCTCTTGGGCTTCCATGTAAAAAAATCCAGAATTGTCTAAGTTCTTTTTAAAGCTCTTTGTATTAATCTGTGCAATGTACTGTATCATAACACAACATATACTGGTATGTATGTATGTACATCACGTGTACCACTGTGACAGAAACTGTCAGGTTCAGCAGAAGCAGAGGTATACTGCAGGGAGCAGTGAGGAGCTGGAGAAGCCATGCTCTGAGTACAGTCAAAATTCTTAGAATTGCAGTGTAAATTGCATAACCCAATGCTCTAGCTTGCCACAGACACACGCTCATATTTCTACCATTGCAGCATTGCTTTTGAATTGACATTCCTTCTGTCTGGGTTTGTATAATCAATCTGGCAACGATTACTGACTTCCCAATTAGGCAGTCGGTGTTCCTGCCGAGCTCTAAACCAAGGCATCAAAATGAAGCATGCCTTCAGTGTGCCCTGGAGTTACCAGCTGGTCTGCCAACGGTGTCAGCTGAGCACTCTACCAAAGTACCCGAAACGTGCCGTGATGCGATGTCATCTGTGTGCCTGCGCCATACCAAATTACACCAGCTATGTAAGCATCTGATACATAGATACATGTACAGATGATATGATGACTGCGTCAGTTGGTCAGATGAAGAAACAGGAGAATAGGGAAAGCATGCTAATAAAATGTAGGTTTTAGCTACATATAAATAAGAGCCAGGTGGGATACGTGGACTAAGAGTCTAATAAAAATCACACATTCTTATACTGCCTGGCCATAAGAACTTGGCACTTCCTTGCTTATACCGGGAGAGTTTGGTAAAAGAAGGCACACGGGACCCAAACAAAGATGCCTAAATACGATGGTGTTTACACCAACAGGCTTTTTTTTGCTACCCTGAAAAGCAGCTACCCACGCTAATGACCACTTCAGAATGCCTACTGACTCAGGTTTGCAATAATTTCCTTATTTTTTCACAAGACAGCAAAAAAAAATTCAACATGCTATTCTGAGTGTGCACAACTACACTCTAAAGCACATGGTTTGTTCTTGTTCTTACTGTCTTACCAGATATTAGTCTCTTCTTTGTGCATCAGAGTATTTCACTCGTACGTAAGGAAATTGAGAAACCGACCACGGGAAGGACAGATTGCAAGGTGTACACAAAAAGCAACAGGTATCAGAACGAGAATTGAGTATAATGTCTAGAAAGGACCTGATGGTCATTGCTCCACATAAAGTAGTCCTTCAAGGACAAGCATGAGGGGAAATCGAGCTGACAAGAAATTGCCACATCTCCACTGCTTATCTGCATTCGCCATTGCTACAGCATATAGGTAATGCTCAGATAAAAGTACAAAATATTGTATGGTCTGGAGAATCTTCTTATTTTCTACAACTGAGTCAACTGAAACAGGAGGGTAAACTAGCTGGCCCTTACAATATATGGGAACCGTAAAGAACACAAAGAACAGCCTGAACAAAATGTTCAAGCCTTAACAACTGAAACATAAAAAACCACACTGCAATAATCCACCACACATTGTAGCTTCACCATGAAGTAACCTTCACAACTGGAAGTCAAGGCTACTGGTGAACTGCTTTAGTAAAACTTACAGATACTTTTTACCCTTCAAGCACTTGATCTCTCAGCAAATTTAAAATAGCAGTGCTTAGGAAGCATGAATGTCTTTCTACTCCCATTTCATTCCTAAAGGGACAAGGGCAGGTAGTTGTATGTTATCTTAATACATTTTATAATGCTTGAGCCCCTAAAATATGTGTATACAGCAGCTGAGAACTGAATTCCCTTTGACCTACATCACTCTGGATGTAGACTATAACCTGAAAAGAAGGAAACATGCATTAAGTCTGAAAAAAAATCTTTGACTGGTAAATGAAAAAAACGTATTTGATATTGTATGGTAACTGTTGAGTCATGGCCTGAAGCACTGACTGAGCAGCTGGGGAAAGGACCCGGTCAGCCCTGGGAGCACAGGTGAAGGCAGCTCAGCTGTGGGACCAGAAGGGACGGAGCCTGGCTGCAGCTCTTAGACCTCATTGCAGGCTGACCAGCACTGCGAAGTATCTTCGTTCGGCGTCCCTTCTTTGTGAAGTTTTTCTCTGTGAGCTTAGATCTTCAGAGACAGGTGAGCGGTCCTTTCTTCCTTCCCTTATAACATCTATTACACTACTGCCTTTGTTGTTACACCTCCTGTATCACCATTCCATCCTACTGATCTTTCTGATTGTTACAGGAACCAACTACTTTGTAAAAGTTAGGTGGCTCAGTATGAAACATCAAGCAGAAAAATACTTATCTGCTCAAACAAAGCGTCACAATGCACTTGGAGATTTAATTCCTGTTACTTTGTTCCCTGTTGCTGTTCATTGTAATTCTAACATGCACCATGAGTTGCAACGTCTCTCTTTTTCATCTTCAAAGACATCTTGGAAATGGACAAAAGTATGCTTGTGAAGGTATATGGTTATTAGTATGCAACAGAGTATGTTTTATAGTTAGCCAAGTGGAGAATGGTAAGGACTGGATCAGCTTGCCACGCTACATTTGGAGATGTTGTAACTAGGTTTGATTCAGTAGCAGAGAAAGGTAATGCATTTAGAGGCTTTCCTCTGGGTTGTGCTGTACCAAGTTACCAAGAGGTCAGATAGGAATGGTACTAATAGAAACTAATGTCATCAGATGAGATATGGAAAATCTTACTCATAAGTAGGCAGGCTGAAAGTGTGGACATGTTGCTAACTGTTACTAAGAGTGTTAGTAGGGTAAGTATGGTCACCTCCATGACTGAAACATGGTAAAAGGGATTATTGCAGAGTGAAGAAGCCATCCATTATTTAGCAGGCAGGTAGGTATTACTGCAGAAAGGAGTCACCATTTGCAATGGTTCTTCAAACAACTGGGTCTGCAAGACATGGATTCACCAAGGTAAGGCTGGTTACAGGCATAGAATACATATGGGAAAATCACCTCCCTCATCCAGCCAGGAAATAGGACTGTAAAGGTGTAAAGAACTTATTCCCTTTCTTGACATCATGCACAGAATTATCTTCAAGACACTGAAAGTACTGTACTGGGGCTCCCAGTACAGGAAGGATGTGGAGCTCTCGGAGTGGGTCTGTAGCAGGGCCACTAAGATGATGAGAGGGCTGGAGCACCTCTCCTATGAAGAAAGGTTGAGAGAACTGGGCTTGTTTAGAGAAGACTCCAGGGAGACCTCATTGTGACCTTCCAATACTTGAAGGAAGTGCATAAATAAGGGGGGGAATGGCTGCTTACAAAGGTGGATAGTGATAGGACAAGGGGGAATGGTTTTAAATTGAGACAGGAAGGTTTAGGTTAGCTATTAGGAGGAAGTCTTTCCCCCGGAGGGTGGTGAGGCACTGGCACAGGTTGCCCAAGGAGGCTGTGGATGCCCCATCCCTGCAGGCATTCAAGGCCAGGCTGGATGTGGCTCTGGGCAGCCTGGGCTGCTGGTTGGTGACCCTGCACACAGCAGGGGGTTGGAGCTCGATGAGCATTGTGGTCCTTTTCAACCCAGCTCATTCTATGTTTCTACAAGGTCTTTTCTGGGGATATAATAGCTCTAAGCAATCAGCAGGACACTGATAAAGCATAGACATGCGTGGTAAGTGTTCAGAAAGTCAGGCCCTCTTGCTTATTTGATAATGCACATTAGGGCAGAGGAAGGAATGCTGGGTAGTTGCACGTCTTTGGGCCTTCTTTAAAACATCGAAGGTGGCAAAAAGGAAAATGAATTTACTTGGTGGGATCCAGTCAAAGAATAGAGGGCAGGATGCAGGCAGTTTATCCATCTCTGCCTCTAAGTTCTGGATCAAAGCTGGCCTGGTTACTCACCGGGACACGGTCAGGGTATTTGGCGCGGATCTTTGCCGACTCCACGCATCTGTGCTCTGTGAACAAAACTCGCAGTTAGTCACTGCACAGTAACAGGGCAGTCAGAGTCCTACACAGCGAGCAGCACCGCAGCCAGCGGGCACCGTCGTGCCTTCCGTGACGCGGCCCCAGCCACCGAGCTCGTTCTCCACCGCCGCGCCGCCCTTCGTCGAGAACCGCGGGACCGTCCGCCCAGCACCACCGCGCCGGCGCGGGGAGCCCGCCGCGGCACGCACGACTGCGAGGCCCGGTGCGGACGGCGACGCAGAAGACAGGAGGCCGCCGGCGGGGAGCGCCAGGCCCGCCCTTACCCAGCGCATGGTCCTCTTTGAACATCCACTTCATGGCGCGAGCTGGGCGGGAAGCGGAGCCAGCGGCGAGGCCCTGGTGCGGGCAAGAAGGGAGCCGAGCCAGGCGGCGGAGCCTGCGGCTGTCACGGACCCTGTCACAACAAAATCAGCCCCGGCTCGGCAGGCGGGACTTCCGGCTCGGCGGTTCCTTAGCAACCACTGGAACGCGGCGCTTCCGGCTCGCGGGCGGAGGGGCGGGGCTGCGGCGAACGGCGGGGAATCACGCGGAGGAAACGAGGCTGCGCAGCGGTCCGTTCGGCGGTGCCGCTGCGATGCTGGCGGTCGCGCTGCGGGTCCCGACGCCGTAGCAACTGCCCTCACTACCTTCCTGCTGCCGTCTCTGGGCGCTCCCCGCTTCGCCTCGACCGTCCTTCCCGGAACGTGCGAACCAATGTTCACCGGCTGACGCGCCCGTTCCGGCGCGTGGGGAAGCCTGGCTTCGGCCACTCAGTACTTGCTGCTGCCGTGGGCGCGGGATGGCAGGCGTGGAGCTGTTCTCGCACCCCGCGCTTCACACGCGCTACCGAGCTGGGCTCTGCTCCACTGCCGTGCTGTCGCTGCTGCTCATCGCCGTGCTCACCTACGTGCCGCCGTTGCTGGTGGCCTACAGGAGCCACGGTGAGCAACTCCCAGCCCCGCGGAGCCCTGCCCGGGGCCACGCTGAGACTTCGCGCCGTCTCTGCCTGCAGGTTTCTGGCTGAAGCAGAACGCGTACCGAGAGCAGCCGACGGTTCGGTTCCGGTACGAGGTGCTGTTCGTGGCCACCACCGGGCCTGGCCCGGGTAGCTTCCTGGCGTGGAGCACGTTCCCAGCTTTCAACCGGCTCCAGGAGGACCGACTGCGCGTCCCGCTCCTGTCGGTAGGCGGCCCGGTGATGGGCAGGGAGTCGGGGAGCTCCGTCCTCAGTCTCGCGCTATGCGGCTTCGTTGGCCTCGGACAGGCAGCTTTTGTGTTTGGCTTGCAGACGGACATTGCAAATTTTCCCAAAGCTAGTTGCTGGGTTTTCTTTCCTGTTTTTTTTTTTTTTCTTAATTTTTCTTCCTTCCCCCTCCCATTCCCCCTTCTGTAAGGATTATACTCTGAGGCTTGTGGGGGTTTGCAGGTAGCCCCCTGCTTTTGAATGCAGAAACATGCTTTTAAAGCATATAGTCTCTCCCCTGCAGCCATTGTTTCTTCTGGGATTCAGGAGTAGTAGCTATTTATCTGTGAAAGCTCTGTTATGTTTCCTCATGGTTGTGAATTGCTGAGGTACTGGGCAAGAGTGACACAGAAGCACCGCGAGCCTTGGCTTACTACCAGGAACTATACGTGGTGTAAAGAAGCTACTAAGAGTGAGCTGCCATGGCTGGAGGCCATTAAACATTCACATGGATGTAGCATGGATCCAGCATTAAGATATGGATTGCCGCATACAGGGAAGATGTCTGGAATGGCATAGGACAGAAGAGCTCTTGGAGAGTCATTTCTCTTCCTGTGGAGTGCATGGAGCATTGTGTAACAGATTAAGGCTGCTTCTCTCTAATCTCATGTCTTTAAAATCAAGCAGCTTTTTATTATATTTCTATATATTCTATATATTTCTAACTATGCTGTTTATTTGCTTTCTTTGTATGTACATGTTGCAGTTATGGAAATCTGTAGTTTAACTTTTCTTTGTATTTCTTAACAGGAAAACTCCTCTATTAAAATAAATAAAAGTCTGGTTGTTCCTTTTAGACTAGAGAAGAAGACAAAAATCAAGATGGCAAAATGGATCAGTTGCATTTTAAATTGGAGCTTCCGCTACGACCTACAGAGCATGTAGTTGGTGTTCAGCTGATTTTGATCTTTTCCTACCACCTTTATGTGAGCATTTTTTTGTTTTATTTATGTTGTGACACATAAACCCAATGTAGTATTTCAGTACTAGTTATGCAAAGAATCTTTGCACGTTTGAAATTTCTGAGAGATTTTAGTAACATATCTGATTTTTTTTTTTCCTCCTGCTATCAGGTCATTCCTGGTTTCTCTGCATGGGGATCGGTTGGCTTTGTTTGTTTTTTTTTTTTCCAGGGAGTAGGGCTGATTTGCTTCTGTGTATTCTCTTGATCTCTAGTGTAGCATATAGAACAGAGATGTACAACAACAGATGTTGGAGTTGATGGCATCAGAAAATATTTGAGAGTCTTGCAGTACACAGAAGTTTGTGTGCTCTTAAATACTGCTGTGTCTTGACAAGCAGTTTTCTGAAGTGGAGGGTCAGGTGGCAGTTTAATACATAAAGGGAATGGATGAGACACTAGTGCAGAGAGAATTCTTGGGAAGTATGTGGAAGTAGCAATAGTACAAAGCAGTAAAATATATTATAGAGTTCAATGAAGAGATAGGCAAGGACATTTTACTAGTAAGATTAGGTTTAGTTTATCGAACAAATTTGCTGAATGCAGATGGAAAAACTTAGCAAGCGCTGCTGTGCTGTGTTTACTCTGAATCACAGAGTAGAAGCCTTGCAGTCCTGAGTTTATGTGCTGAAGTATTAAGCCAGCAATCAATAGCATGTGAAAAGCTCCAATACTAACAGTGCTTCATTTTACAGTAAATGTGCAAGTTTTCCTTCAGATTGAGTGGTTGACCAGTGCAGAGAAACAACTTTGTTTGGCCTGTAACAAAGTCTGGGAGTCCTTATCTTGCCTTGGTAACTGAGTATTTCAAAGCTTTTCTCCAGTAAAAGTGTTTAATAATTTTGCTACCTTAAGCATGTTATGGCAAGGCACTGTTTTGTTTTCTGTCATTAGTGTCAAACTGTTGGACTTCACTGAATCATCTGTGGAACTTCAGTTAACAAGATTAGTTAATTAATTAGCAGCAAAGCTAGTTCATTTATAAAAGATTATGCATGTTAATTGTTAGACACTCCCTTCTTTAGAATAATGTGATAATTTGAAACATTCATGTCAGCAAAATCCTATCTATGAAGAAATTCTATAGATACAAATTGGTAGAAAACTGTGGGTGATTTTGTTTTTCCTAAATTTTCTGCTTGTGTGTTCACTGTTTCAGAGGATGTCGACATTCGTGATGCAGAGCATGGCTTTTCTTCAGTTTTTTTCTCCTGTACCGGGATCTCAGCTCTATGCGAATGGAGACCTGAAACTGAACCAGAGGCAATTACTTAACCACTGTGGGCTTGATACCAGATACAATGTGAGAACTTTTTTTTTCCTCTGTAAATTTCTCCCTTGTTATTCTCCTGTTACTGTAAATGACCCCTTAATTATTTGCACACATACATAGAGTGGACACTGAAACTTTTTTGAGCTGTTGTTTATTTGTTACGTTGGAGGGTAGAAGATGTTCTTCTGCTGAGATATTCAGTCTAATGTTTGTGATTTCCTTACAAGGCACAGTTACTTTGGCTAAGAAACTCAGTAGAATTACTTTCCTGAAGAGTGGACAAATAATGCAAATATCTCCTTGTGGTGACAGGTGTCTGTGATCAATGGCACAAGCCCTTTTGCAAGTGACTATGATCTAAAAAACATCATTGCAGCGTATCGAGATAGAAATGGTAAGCCTGAATGTATAGCTGCTAACTGCAGGACAGCAACATTTACTACATTAGTAGCTGTTATTTAAGGATTTGAGTTCTCTATTAAAACTGAAAAGACCATTCACTTGGATATTTTCCTTCCCTGTTTTAGTGACGACAGTGTTTTCAGATCCTAACCCCATTTGGACGACTGGAAGAGCAGCAAATACGCCATTTATCGTTACTGCCACTATTCATTACCCAGTGGAAGTTATCTTATATCCTTAGAAAACTACATTAGTGGTGAAATAACCGGATAGTATTATTTGAGCCTTCACATACAAATGAACACTACCTTCTTTTAGACTTGTCCCTAAATTTTTCCTTTTTCAATGAAGTGTATGCTGTATACTTGTTTGCCTGTCCCTGCATGTGCATACCATTACTGTTTTTGCTTGCAAAACCCTTTCTGTCTTTTCCTACAGGGAATGTCTGTTGCTGTTCTGCCTTACTAAAATGATATTTTAAGGCAGTTTCTTAGCAGTTCGCTCTGAACGTCCTTACTAAGTTTTGGTCTAGTTCTTCAATCCTGTAATTGTTGTAACTGCTACAGGCAAATCGTGTTACTGCATTTTATGACCTAAAGCAAATCAGAAACCTGTATGTGGCGTAGGCTCAACAAATGATAGCCCTGCAGTGGATGAGGCAAATCTGTTGCATGTGCCAACAAAACAAAAAAGCCTTTTTTGCTCCAAAGTAATTAATTATCCTTATGTTCTTTGCTTAGTTTCTCAGACAAGAATAGGCCTGTAATTAGAAAAAAACTTAGAGCACATCCCTCACAACTTTTCTTTACCTGAATTAAGAATTACCAATACCTACTTGCTGGTGAAGTAGAGGCAACATAGGCACTTTCCACAGAGTTGTTCTGGATGTCTTCTATGATAGGCATTCTAGCTTTTCTGTGGTCAGAGGCTTTTTGAGGTTTCTGTGACTAAAGGCTTTGTACTTGTTGCCAAATTGATGTGCCTTTCCACCTCTGAATTCTTTTGTTTAGTTATTGCAGTGAGTGTATCAGAAGTGTCTTCTTTAACGCTCCTTGACTTCATGTAAATATCAGCCAGGATTTTGGGAAATGATTAAATTTGCCTGGATCCAGTACGTCAGCATTCTCCTCGTCTTTCTTTGGGTGTTTGGTAGGATTAAAATGTTTGTGTTCCAGAATCAGGTGTTTGCTACGACTCCAGTTTCGCCAATTCTGCCATTGTCTCCGGTATTGTCCTACAAACAGCATCAGTCCTGAGGAAATGCCTGAAAACTTAAGAAATGTGGTTTAAAAATAAGTACCTGCTTTTTTTTCTCTGCACATTTTCCTTTTTCTTTAGAAGATCAGAACCTTGTAAATATATTCTGAGTATGTTCTGTTCTTGCTACATCTTGTGAATGCTACGTCTTGTCATGAAAGGATGTCATTTTCTTTTTTTGAAGATGTGCGTGTCTCTGTATTTCTGTAGGAACTTTGGGACTGAAGTGTTTAATTTTGAACAGTTAAAGAACAACTTTGGTTTTTGGTGGGCTTTGGTTGTTTTTT